CAGTCTCTAAAATTCTGATTTCAATAAACCTTCTTTCCTTCTTCAGGTAGTTCATTGCAGTACTAAAAAGCTAACTAACATGGTGTCAGTGTCAGTGTCAAAAATAAGGTAGTCCTCAATATACCATCACAGCACTAAATCACCAAATTAATAATACAGGTAACAGAACAGCTTAAAATTCTTCATGAACTAGCAACACTTTTTAAATTTAATCTTACTTGAGGAAATAAACCTCGTGTTCATATAACTGGGCAAATTAAAACCATGCCTTATGTGTATTTCTACTAAAGTATTAATATAACAAGCTCCCATTCTCTTTCATGCTGTGAGCTGTTTATGTTATTATTCCTGTACTAGCACAAAGGGAACAAACTATGTGGCTTTTGAGTATTTTTGAGCCTACTCTCCTCTTTTGTTAAATAAGAAGAGGTTACCTACTTCTAGTTATATGCACTGAGTCCTAGCCAGTGTCATTTTATCAATAGGTCCTCTTTTAGATTCATTGAGAATTGTAAGCATCTGATGGAGCATTGAGCATTACTGACACTTTAGTTTTTTTTTTTTTTTTTTGACAGGAAGAGTTAGACAGTGAGAGGGAGAGATGGAGAGAAAGGTCTTCCTTCCATTGGTTCACCCCCCAAATCGTTGCCACGGCCAGCGCACTGCGCTGATCCGAGCCTGGAGCCAGGTGCTTCCTCCTGGTCTCCCACGCTGGTGCAGGGCCCAAGCACTTGGGCCATACTCCACTGCCTTCCCAGGCCACAGCAGAAAGCTGGACTGGAAGAGGAGCAACCGGGATAGAATCTGGCGCTCCGACAGGGACTAGAACCCAGGGTGCCGGCGCCACAGGCGAAGGATTAGCCTAGTGAGCCGCGGTGCTGGCCGACACTTTAGTATTGCTATTTAAAATAGATTTGAGCACAAATAGAGCAGAGAAGCGATGAAACAAACCCAGAGACCTTGTGTACAAAATGACAACAACAATAAACAGCGCATGGGAAGAGCCCTGGTTAGGAGTAGATCTTGGCACACTTACTAGATGCCTGAATGGGGTCTGTTCCCCAAATTATCTGAATTTCAGCTTAATAATGTGTAGAAGGCAAACACAAATCATTGCCCTGAATCTCAAGGATTCAAATAAACTGTTTTGGAAGCTATGTTAATAGACGTCATCAGTATGCAGAAAAGCCCAACGTAATTTTTCTTTTACTCTAGAGACCGTAAGCTTCATAACTTAGCAGAAACCCCCCAGCTGCATTTCAGCTCCATGGCCTTCAGTGGCTCTCTGTGCTGAAACAAGAGTAGCAGCACTCTTTATTCAGAGCCACCTTGTCTACAGGGGAATTTCAGTGCACTAATCCTGTATCCCGGCATCTTGTTGATTGAGACGCAATGTTCTGTGATGATTGAGTTCAGATACACTGAAAAGCTCTGGGAATGCGAGTGTGTGGCACTGGAAAGGAGTTGCACTATTGTAGCTCACACAAGACAATGACTGCAACTCCCAATAGATGATTACTTAAGGGACACAGTGACAAGAACCAATGACGATCATCAAGGTAAGCGGTGGATTCCTGCGTCATTCAGAGATCCCATCCACATCAGCAGGGATTTTATGGACTGAACGGGACTTGGTTCCCCAAACTCATGTCAGTGTTTAAACCACGAAGTCTCATGTTAACAGTTAATAGATTAATGCTAGTGGTTGATGGATTAGGATGGAGACTTGATCTAATTATGGTGGCTAGAGGTGGATCCAGGGCCAGGGCTTTAAGTCAGTGGGAATTTGCCTTTGGAAGGAAATCCTTGCAAGATACTTGGTTATGTAAGCTGAGTTCTGCCTAGCTTCTCTCTCTGCATCTTGGGCCACCATAAGATCTTTCCCCAGCACAGGCTCCACCACAGCCAGCTTTCATCTGTTATCACACTAATGGGGCCACCTAATCTTGAACTGTAAACCTGGAAACTGTAATCAAAATAAATTCTTGCCTTCTTAGAGCTTCCACCGAGGAAAACTAGTTAGAGTAATGACTTAGTTAAATTAATGCAAATTAGTAAAAGTAATGAAAAGCTACTAACACAAGAGAGAATTTCATTTTTCTGAATAAGCTAAAAGCAAGCCATGTCAGGTACAAAAACTAAAAATGCTTGAAAATAAACTTCTGAGTTAAGATACATGCAATATGCTAAACTATTTTAATAATTCCAAAGTTATTGCCTGCGCCGCGGCTCACTAGGCTAATCCTCCGCCTAGCGGCGCCGGCACACCAGGTTCTAGTCCCGGTTGGGGCACCGGATTCCGTCCCGGTTGCCCCTCTTCCAGGCCAGCTCTCTGCTGTGGCCAGGGAGGGCAGTGGAGGATGGCCCAGGTGCTTGGGCCCTGCACCCCATGGGAGACCAGGAAAAGCACCTGGCTCCTGGCTCCTGCCATCGGATCAGCGCGGTGCACCGGCCGCAGCGCGCCGGCCATGGCGGCCATTGGAGGGTGAACCAACGGCAAAGGAAGACCTTTCTCTCTGTCTCTCTCTCTCTCACTGTCCACTCTGCCTGTCAAAATAAATAAATAAATAAATAAATAAATAAATAATTCCAAAGTTACAATGAAGCGAAAGCCCTGCATTACATCAAAAGTATTCATATAACTATTATAGCCGGCGCCGTGGCTCAATAGGCTAATCCTCCACCTTGCGGCGCTGGCACACCGGGTTCTAGTCCCGGTTGGGGCGCCGGATTCTGTCCCGGTTGCCCCTCTTCCAGGCCAGCTCTCTGCTATGGCCAGGGAGTGCAGTGGAGGATGGCCCAGGTGCTTGGGCCCTGCACCCCATGGGAGACCAGGAAAAGCACCTGGATCCTGGCTCCTGCCATCGCATCAGCGCGGTGCGCCGGCTGCAGCGGCGGCCATTGGAGGGTGAACCAACAGCAAAAGGAAGACCTTTCTCTCTCTGTCTCTCTCTCTCACTGTCCACTCTGCCTGTCAAAAAATAAATAAATAAATAAATAAATAAAACTTCAAAAAAAACTATTATATATATATGTGTCCAACAGTGATAATAGTCATTAGTAGAAAATTTGTATATAACATCACATGTAGACCTGCACTAGAGTTAAAAAAAAAAAACTATTGATAGACCACAGCTTCACGGTAATTAAGGTTCCTAACCAAATTACAAAAGTCCGGTTTATTTAACCATTTTAATAGAAAAAAAGCCTTTCTATATAAATATTAGTAAAATTAAATAAAATAATATTGACATCAGACCTATGTATAAACTTATCCTAAAACAGAGAACACAAAGCTACAAACTAAAAGAAAAAACTTAACCTAAATCCAATGGACACATCATACTTATACTACGCATTTTAAAAGTTAGGAAGCTGAAGGCCTTTTCAAGACTTTCCTTGTAGGATCTGCACAAAAATTCAGAATTTTCATGTATGAACAGATTTGTTTCTTGACACAGATATTCTTGACATACTGTAATTCGTGGTTTGAATGTAGGCATTTCAAACTATGTAAAATCAATGCAGTCATTTAATTAAAACCAAAGACAACATACTTTCATTTTAAAAAGCAATAATAATCGAAATATATTTCAATTTTGTTTGAAAAAGGACAATCAATTTTAATAAAACAAAGATTTCTTTGCATCACTGTGTTTTTTCTCCTGAGGATTTAAGAATCAGAAATTACAGGTAGAGTTATGGATAGGGACAGGGAACGGTCAGCAACAATGACAGGTTCTAGAACAGAAATAGACATTTTGTTAGAGAGGAGATGGAGTAAACCACACCGCAGTTTTGTACAGACCATGAAAATGGGGGCAATGTTTAAACAGTTAAATGTTAGGAAAAAAAAAAATAGGAAGCTGCATAGCAGAATCTCTTACCCTGAAAAACTCTTTAGTGGAGCCAGAGTCTAATGTTCCATAAGCAATTTCTGTTTGCTTAGAAAGATCCTCAGCACTTTCGATGGGAGACACCATCCTCTCTACAGTCAGGAAGGCAGCTAAGTTAGCCGTGTAGGAGGAGATTATGATCAGGGTAAAGAACCACCACACACCTCCAACAATGCGCCCAGAGAGGGATCTAATAACAAGTATGAAATGGATTTGTAAAGTGAAATGAATGACCTAATAAAAAAAAACAAGTTAGCAGTAATATGCAAATATTGACTTATTAGGGCATATTTAATTTAAAACTTTCAATATAGGTGCTAGTTAATGAAACTGGATATTATCAAACATTTTAACACGGAGACAGATTAACTAGAATTGAAGACACATCTAGATGCCAAATATTCAGACTCCTGGGATTCTTTTACAGTTATAATACCCAAACAGGAAGTGAAATTCCATAATGAAGCAACTTCAAGAATGTACAAATAATATATTCAACCCTCATACTACTTTATCCACCCATGACATAAGAAATATGAAAAAAGATCACTAGCAGACTCCTAAAAATATTTTCAAACAAAAAGACTATGGATCGCAAATGTAGCGTTAAATGCCAAGGGAACTCTCCCTTTAATTCAGTCAGTGAAGTTTCAAAAACTCTCAGAAAGAATGAATAATTTCATTTTTTTTGTGTGTGTATGCAGATAATAGGTTTTAAATAAAATATAGGAGAGGAAACAGAAGAAAAATGAAACAACAAGATATGACCCAAATATAATTCTTAATGAATAAGAAACAGATGCCTCAGGGAATGAACTGCCATGACCCTGTTCCTTTGTGTCTCCTGCTTAGGAAAAAAAGAAAACCCAAAGAAAATAAATTAGATATATAAATGTTTATCCAGACATAATTCCCACCAGTACTTCTGATATTACAAATTACTACATACAATACTTTGCAGATGCTAAACAGATTTCCACTAATTCACTTTAAGCTCTGAAGTAGGTAAATATAGAAATGTAGATGAAGTTATAGATATTTATTCTAATATTTTGAAATATGTAGTGTAATTCTATGCATAGTAATTTGAATAATATTAACAAACCTATAAACTATTTCCTCCACAAACAACTCCATTATGCATGTCTAGATTTGCTACAGTGAAGAAGTAACATCTCCAAAAATATAAATCAAGAAAATTTGGCAATATATGACCTAAGCTGATGTTCCTCATAATTAGCAATAAGAAAAAACACCATTTGATTAAAAAAGATTGTCAAATTATTGACCAATGTTTATACAACAAACCAGTTGACCACTCAAAAAACAGCAGTTGCTAAATATGCTGAGAGAAGAGAGAGAGAGACTTTAATGAAAAACAAATCTAATATAATAACATTTAACACCAAATATCAAGGAGATGCTAAGAATTAAGTAGGCATGAAATGATAGAAAGTGTTACATGCATCTAACTTGTATTCTGAAAAAAAATTCACATATATTTTTCTATTAGAAAAGCCCTTATAAGGACTCAGCCACTCAGCCACTCTCAAAATATTCACTATTTATCTCATCATAATAGAGGTATAATTATATATGTATGCTGTGCTTAAGAGGCAATTCAGTTCTGACTGCTCAAATCTCTTAAAAGTTACTTGCCTAGTAACTGCTTTTGACTCAATGCATAGCGTGTTAGTTTACAATGTTTAGGAATCATAATATACATCTGTTTCAGTTGTAACAACAAAGCCAATTTAAAAATCATAAGTCATCCTCTATTCCAGTGCTTATTAAATTTAATGGGATTAAATAGGCCCAATTGATTTAAAATATACATGATATCTCACAAAGTATATGAGTTGATAAATCAGAAAAAATCACTCAAAGGTGAAACATACTTAAGGGATTTATTATTTACTTTTATATGTTTTTCAACTATCCTTTCATGCTTCTGAAAGAGTTCCTGAGAATCCTAGGCAGAGCAACAAATTCAATTTTATTTTATGGTGACAATAAAAATGACTTCTATAATTAAAGCCATACCTTTCAACAAGGAATAAATAAATGTGTATATACTATCATTTCTTTTAATCCCTATTAACAATTATTTAAAATTGTTATACATTTTTATATTCCTTTAGAGATATTTAGGAAAGAAACAGAAGCAAGTAGAAGAATTAAAAAAAAAAAAACAGTCTTTGTGACATATTTCTTTCATAATTTCTGTGGTCTTAATCTTTAGAAAACTATTTTATAGTTGAAGACAGTGTAAAATTTAATTTCAAGAAAATGACCAAGTCAATTTATTCAATAATTCTAGACTGTAATTTAAATGTATTAGCAGTAGTGTACATTTCTGTATTGTATTTTACTTGCAAAGTGATGATAAATGTTTTTAAATTTTTAAAAGTCATTGTTAAAGTGACCTTTACACTTACAGTTTTTAAAGGTAATAAACTGCTTTTCTCTTATTGATCATCTCTATCATTGAATTACAAGAAAGTATGGTTTGGTTCATATAAAAAATCATTAAATTTGACAACACTCTGTGTCAGGGTCAATTTTTACATGCACATGTAGCATCAAGGGAAAGAATATGTATCTCTTTTTTAATAAAATGAATTTTGCTCACATATATTCTGAGGCAAAAAGATATCAATCAATAAAAAGGAAAAATATGCTATCTAAAATCTGTTTATTTCACCAGGAAAAAAATATACTTCCTATGAAATTGTAGTGCTTCATGACTCATGAGTGAAATCAAAAGCAAAGAAAAAAGACCTTATTTTGAAGCATGTTTGATGAATGTAGGAAGGCATCTATATGTCATGGTGGATTCTTTGATATTATAGGTGGTTAAATATGCCTGGCACTCTAGACCCTACCTGCAAACAGATTTCCCAGCCTTTGACGAGCACCAAATGTCAAAACAGCTGTCTATAGTGCCAGAAACACGAGGAACAGGGCAAAAAGACCCAAAGTTTTTATTTGGGAATCCAGGCCAATATATCCTGTGTCTTAATGAACTCTCATACACTTCTTATTACTTATTCTAAAGACATTCACAGCTTATACCATCCTAGGATAATTGTACTACATCTGAGACTTAAGGTAATATGATAGTTCAGTAGTCTTCTTAGCAAAGATGAACCATTTCCTTAGTATTTTATGGAACAAAATGTTACCTGGGACCACAATGTGTTCAGTCCCCCTCCCTTATTAATAGAGACATATTAAAATGTCTTTAACTTAAAATAGATAAACTAAATACAGAGATGAAAACTATGAATCATATATTTTGTGAGAGGTGAAATAAACATATACACAATTACATGACATGCCAAGTAAATTTCACTGGCAAGTGTCTAGTTCAAATGTCATTCCCATAGAAAAGCTAGAGGGGATGTGATAGAACCAAGATGTTTAAGATATACATAATTTATAAAATAGCAAATTTAAAACTTACCACCAGTACAACTACCTACTACTAGAAATTAAGCCATTGAAAGTCTATCTGTAAGATGTATTTAATTCATCTCTAATTGTGCATTATATGAAAAAGATCAGAAAACAAGAAAGTTTTGAGCTCATATAGTTTTCTTTTAAAATTAATGACTTGTTATTCCCAAAAATTCTCAAAAACTAAAATACAGTGAAACTATCTGAAAAGGCACCTCCTTTACCAGATAATAATATGTATCCCTAAGAATCAAAGAAAGGTAATCAAGCCCAAATTAAAATATGCCAGTAGACATCATAATTTTGGCTTTAAATGTTAAATAATTATACCAGGAAGAGCATTATGTATTCCTCTGAAAGGCCACATGTGCTGATTACTCTTACTCATATATGTAACACGAGAAAATAATCTAGGCTTTGTGACATTTATTATATTTAGATATTCTAGTGCAGGTATTAACATATACTGATAACAGAGGTATAGGAGGTTTTTCCATGATATGGATATAATACCATCCAAAATGGCACAGCCATTTGTAATGACTCATTAGTTCCATCCATGTATTTCTAGATACTGAAAATGTTAACATACATTCCTTTTAATCCAGCAACCTAACCTTAAAAAATAAATTTCATAATATTTCTTTCATATCAGTTCCATGAGCTAATGATGGGAAAATAGAAGAGATGAGATGTGTGCCAATGAAGTGTTGTATAGCAAGTTGTTGCTTTTGTAGTTAATAATGTTGCCCATTTTCCCATATACAGGTCTGTGGATCAGCACACAGATGACTGTAAAATGAGAATATGCAGCAAAAACACGGTACCCCTCCAAGAAGGCATGGAATGATAGGAACCTTATGCATTTTATAGCCTCTCCATGGTGTGTATAATTTCACCAGGGAAATATATGACCAACATTCGAAGAACATTGCTCAAATATTTCACAGACTTATGCCGACAGGAAGAGTATGTCCTATAAGAGTCTTAAACTATTTGGACAAGGAGTCGGCAGCTGGTTACCTTTTTAGAGTGAATTCATAAACACCATGAATATCCACTTGAGACCTAAAATGCACAAAGTTGAAGCAAGTGAGTAACCAACCTTGGCGAAATATCGCATCCTTGCTGCATAAAGGCACCCAAGGAAAACCAGAGACTATTAAAATCCCAAATTCATTAGTTGATTCACTACTTTGTGTTTCTCTTCCATCTTCAAATTCCTCAGTGTGCCACTCGTAGGGGCTAAATCTGCTGACCAGGAATAAAACTACACTGACCCCAATGTAGGCAAAAACAATGCACATCCAGATCTCATAGGCTAAAGGATCAAGAAATGAAAACACTCCTGGTTTGGACTTCTGAGGCTTCTTGATCATGATAGATATCCCGAGGCTCATAAAGGGCTTTGAAAAGTCAATCACCTCTTCTCTCACAAGGGTAATAGTTAATGGAGCAATTGCAATGTCAGCTTTCTGCAAGGGAAACAAAGGAAAGTAATAGTATATGGAGTCACGTTCAGAAAGGAATCATGGTTACATCATTGGGTCAAAGGGGAAATAAAGGAAATCAGAGAAATGGGGATGGTTATTTCCTTGGTAGAGTCCCAGTAAAGAACAAACGAAAAGTGATTTGTTACCCAAATTTCCCTCTTCTTTATAATTACATGCTATACCCATTTGCCTTGACTGTGAGTATTACCCATCTATACTCCATCTATGCCTTTGCTCCCTTTGCATAATACACATAGTCCATATGCTTCAAGACAGACGAAATAAATGCTGCCTCAGTTAATTTGCATGGTTACTTCTGGCTTCAGCTTCAATCTTCCACATTTTCAAAAGGAATTAGCTATTTCTAGAATAATGTGGGAAAACAACAAGCTTGGACACAAATACTTTGCAGGGATAGGGTGACATTCTACAAACAACAGTTCAAATCACAGACTTTATCTGTGAATAGAGATATACTTACCCCATATACAAGTTCTCCAACCATCCCATTCCAAATTTTCGTGTCTGCATCCCTGGCCCCATACTTGCCATCCCCAACAATTGTCAACTTGTACTTAAACCCACAATGTTTGGCAATTTCTGCAGCCAGATCAACACAGTAGCCCTCATAGCGTTCATTGCCTTCAAGCATTTCATGATTTTTCTTCATCATAACATATGGTGATTCCTATATGGAAAGACAGGAATGAATCAGCTTTAACTGTTTAGCTACGTCAATTAGGCATTACCACTGAATCAGTCTTCTGGCTTAAAATGACTAGTAACAAGAGACAATGTACAATCTAGACGATAGACAACATTAAAGGAAAATGATTAAGAATAATGCTTTGGAAAAAGGGTTCTCAAGTACCTGCCATTATATTTCACTAAGATGACTTGAATCTATGTATGCCAGAGTGAAAAATATATTCAAAATCACAAACGGTTAGCTTGTCCTCTCACCATGTTTGCAATTACTAGGGCTTGGTGGGGATGACTACTGCTCATCATCTATTTTATTCAACTCTAGATATGGCAGACACTTATTCTAGGTTAAGGCTGAATAAACAACCAGAACAAGCCTCACAACAAACCCTGTGTCACTGATACCCAAGGATAAGTTAGATTTGGAAATCAGATTAATTCGATGACAAACCGAAATGATCATTGCAGTGATAATCTACTGATTTTGTACCTGCAAGCTTTAAATCTTACTTTGTTTATAAGATAAAATATCCTAAAATGCGGCCACAGGATAGCTAAAGAATAATTCACTCCAGCAAACATAAGAAAGAATAAGCATGAAAAAGGGACCGGACACAGTTCAATATCCTCCATTGGAAAGGGTACCAACATTATTTGAGGCTTGTTAAGATAGCTTCTCCCAACAACACGAAGGCAAAAAAAAAAACAAAAAAACAAAAAAAAAAAAAAAACACATGTATCACTAACTTGCATTTCTGAAAAATTTCCAGGTGCCTACTGATGTTTGCATCTAAATCCCTTATTAGCCATACATATTTTCAGATCAACATCATTAAGATAATGGCTCCCATAAATATACTACCTCACAGCTAAGTAAATAAAACAAAATTGCTTTGCCACAAAATCATGTCCTGTAGTGAACTCCATTTGCTCCATTTTTTCACCAATAGCAGATTGTGATGATCCACATTTTTCTCCCATCTATGCACAGCCTCAGTGTTCAAGATCGGGCTCAACACAACCCCTTTTATTAAACACTGCATTTATTTTACAATGGCTGTGTGCCAAATACTGTCTTAAAATTTGGGGTTAAAAGATGGGCAATAAATCATTCTCTTTTTTAAGGGTCCATCTTGTATTACCAAGAAAAAGAAGTAGATGATATTACTAAGCCAGGTAAGCAATGGAAAGATAGACTCCACTGAGAGCCGGACAGAAGGGAAAGCTCTTGAGGAGCTACAAGAGACCCTCTAGAAGACTGTCCCCCAGTGGATCACCTGTGCATCTGGCAGGGTATGAGTCACCTGTCATGCTAGATTTCAGTGGTGAAGAGGATAGAGACCACTTTGAGTCCTTTTGCGAAAGCGTGCATAGTCACTTTAACAAAGTAAGAAACGTGGCATGTAAGAGATGATTAAAACCTTGTGGAAACAATGTTGCATTATTATTTATGGTCCTAAAACATAAACCAAAACTCTCCTGGGTATATAATCTTTTGGAATCAAAAATAAGGTTGAACATAGTCCTAAGTAGCTAATTACCAAAATTGTGGTGACCACAACAGTCTTATTCTCCAGCCCAGAGGTGTCATTTCCTGAGGGAAGTTCAGTGAGCGTGACCACCATTTTGTCTACTTCGCTCCAATAGCCAATCTGAAAAACACACAGCGGGGAGGCACAGGGCAAATTACCTTACTCTTAGCAAAATACGGAGTGATTTTCAAACTCAAATTCAAACTCAAAATTATGCTTACACGAACTGGACTTCTAAACAGAAATGTGTCTCATACATACGAATATATGTAGATGTGCACATATATGTAAGTCTATTAGGCATGGAAAGAAACTAAAAAAACAAGCAAAACAAAATAATTTTTTTTGACAGGCAGTGAGAGAGAGACAGAGAGAAAGGTCTTCCTTTTTCTGTTGTTTCACCCCACAATGGCCGCCACGGCCAGTACATCACACTGATCTGAAGCCAGGAGCCAGGTGCTTCTCCTGGTCTCCCATGCGGGTGCAGGGCCCAAGCAATTGGGCCATCCTCCACTGCACTCCCGGGCCACAGCAGAGAGCTGGCCTGGAAGAGGGGCAACCAGGACAGAATCCAGAGCCCCAACCGGGACAAGTGCCAGTGCCACAGGCGGAGGATTAGCCTAGTGAGCCACGGCGCTGGCCCAAAATAATTCTTAAAATTGGCTGGTGGTGGGGCCAGTGCTGTGGCGTGGTGGGCTGAGCCTCCACCTGTGTTACCAGCATCCCATATGGGTGCTGGTTCCAGTCTTGCCTGCTCCTCTTCTGATCCAGCTCTCTGCTATGGCTTGGAAAAGCAGTGGAAGATGGCCCAAGTGCTTGGGCCCCTGCACCCATGTGGGAGAACTGGAAGAGGCTCCTGGCTCCTGGCGTCGGATCCACCCAGTCCCGGCTGTTGTGGCCATTTGGGGAGTGAACCAAATGTCTTTCCCTCTCTCTGTGACTCTATTTCTCAAATAAATAAATAAAATCATTTAAGAAAATAGCTTGTGTTTCCTGGTTCACCTTTTCACATTCTGTAAGAGGAATCTATTTGAGAGAGATTATAGAGATTATGCAAATAAAATACAAACAATGGCATTTAGCGCCAATGCTGAATGGAACAGCTCCTTGGTGCATTTCCATCAGCTATTTTTAGGCTTCAGAACCATCAGCCTTCAGCAATAGTTCTTTTTCACCTCATTACAGTCTTTTTCCACTGCACTCTAAAAAATGTACAGCAGTCCTACTTACAGTTATTTCTCAGATTACATCCCAGTGATACTTACCAGAAATGAATAGGTTCGATTTAGAAAATTACTTGAAAACACATCTGTTTCGGGTGCTCTTTAGAGCCTATCTGTGAATGCCCTCTCCAGAACACTCGGGAAGCGTGAAGTGACAGGTGAGCTGACTCACCTCTTCTCTCAGACAACAGCCTTTAAATCACTAAGGATTTACCTTCCGGGGCCCATTAGTTTTGAGTTCCATGATGTTAATTGTATAGTTTATTCTTTTTCCATTCTGGTCAAATTTTATATTTCCTGAGAGACCTTCAACCTGAACCTAATGAAGAAATAGAAAAGAAACAGTTGCGATTTTATTTCAACCAAGGTACACACTGTACAAATTACTCTTTAGGATCAAGTCCAGAAAATTATATTAATAAGTTTCTTTTCACTTGCAACCTACCTTTGTGTTGTTAGGAAATAACCTTGCCTGTGTGTTAAACATAAGGATTAAAATAAACATGACTGATATGGTAGGGAAAAAAATTGATGATCATGTTATATGACATCAACTCTCAGCTCATTTTGAATGACTGACCTGTTTGAGGGCCCTTTCTATTTCCACACCTTGTCCCAGGGGACTGCTGGGTTTGCCAGACAGTCGCCTGCATTCCCCCGTCGAGAGATTTCAATTCTCTGCTTGCGGAGGTTTCGGAAAGCTTCTGTCATCACTTGAACAGCATCATAGGTCAGAGCGGAAGTGTACTGAAAAGGACCACACACTTTGGTAAGAACAGGAGAAAGTGCAGAAACTCACTGCATATGTGCTCAATACTGCGGTTGCCCACATACAATATCATGGAGAAGTTCAAGAATTCAAATGCAATGTCTGCATCTAGAAACCTGAGAATCAAAGAGAAGTGGTCAAGAATATCAGGACTAGGTAGTTTACCCTTGACTTTAAACATTTTATATTATGTTAACATCTCAGCCGTTTCAGATGAGACTTTTCATAGTAATTGCATCAATGTTGTTTTTTCTAATAAATTTCTCATTAGATCATCACTTCATGATTTGTGATGTTGATATACAAATTATCAAATTAAAAATTTCTTCACAGTTCAGAGGGATTTTCATTTTTTTGTGGAAAATTAGTTTCAGGATCTTCATCTCTCAGCCCTGGGACTGCTAACATACAAGTACCTCTGCAGTGGTTTTGGCAGTGTTTGTTTCCGTTTCCCTATGATGCTGGTAACTGTGGAGAAGAATCATCAAACTTCATGATCTCCATGCTCCCTCCATGCTTCAACACTCTATGCTGAGACCAGCATTGTGGAACCTTGGCTGCTCTGCTTCCAATCCAGCTTCCTGCTAATGTGCCTGAGAAAGCAGCAGAAGATGATCCAAGTGCCTGGGTCCCTGCCATTCATGTGGGAGCTAGATACAGATCCTAGCTTCTAGCTTCAGCTTGGCCCAGCCCCAGACATTGCAACCATTTGGGGAGTAAACCAGCACATGGATCAACAGATGGATATAGTTTTCTCTCTCTCTCTCTTCTTCAGAGAAATAAAGATAAGTTTTTGAAACAAAACACATAAAAGAAGACTATGCCAAGACTGATTCCAATCTTCTAATATTCAGATCTTAGTGGGACAGAATTATTAGAGGAGCTGGGCCCAAGCAGAAAAATGCTGCACGGGTACAAGCCTTGTCAACATCTGGACACATACTGTGATGTGCAAAATACAGAGCGTCATTTGTCAAATGAGCAATCCTACTGTTGTGAATGATGAATTACTGTATGATACAAAGACTTTACTGAAACTGATGAAATTTCTATTAGTACTTCTTAATCTATTGGTACTAAAAGTACTGGAAGCTGGAAAATACACAGCACAATTAAGCGCAATACTAATAATAACTGATTATTTGACAGTAAATCCTAAACCAGGAATCCAAAACGGGGAGCCAATGTTTCCAAATAATCCTCTTCCATTTCCTAGTAACTGAGTTTTCGCACTTTCGAAAATGACTCTTTCCTATCACTTTTAATCTTTTCTAGATGCTTATGCCACCACAAACTTCCCATCCTATAAATGTATGCTGACTGTCTGGCCTGACATGAAGAACACAGACACCACCAGAGAGGACCAACGTATTGTTCAACTGTCAGATTACTAAACCCCTATCTCTGCTTCCTGCCTGAGGTGATGACGCGGAGGCAGCTGCATCCTCTCCCGGGGACAGCCTCTCCAGCAGCACGTGGGTCCTGTCCCTCCAGTCTTCCTCAGGACATCGTATCCACAACTACACTCTCAGTGTCCTTCGTCACTGTTCACTCTCTACTAGCAATCCAGCTGCTCCCTTATCGCTTGCTAAATACAGAGGAGGGAGTGTGAGGAGAGTGGGGTGGGGTGGGAGGGCAGGAAAGGAAGAGGGAGGCTGCTTTCTATACAAATATCTTTGTGCCGCGTCACTGCAGGCCTTGGTGTGAGTCCTTCTCTCTACACCTAGAGATCTTCTGAAGGCTTGCACTGCTGTTTCCTGCATATACCTCAAACTAGACAGATGTAAATAAAACCCATTACCAAATTTTGCAAAATCTGTAACATTTACCTTTAAACTGTACATGGAAGGAACTTAGTATAGTATGTTACAGGTCCATTTACACAACTTGTGCTCCTACATCCAAAATGTAATTTTTGGGAAACTCTCTTAAGAAAATATTGTACAATTTGGATAATTTTCAGAAAAAATATTAATTTTGGTAATAAGTAATATGGAAAAAATTAAAACATTGACAATAAGGGAATGTTTTTAAAACTGTTTTCTGCTTTGGGGAAGTATTATGTATTCATTAAAAAGTGATTCTAATAAAGGTCATATAACAACACGATTAATGTTGATAATAAAATAAGCAAAAACATGACTGCAGCTAAATTTTTTAAAATATTTTTGTCAATAAATAGAGTAATAAAAATAGCTACATCATTTTAAAAATAGGTTGAGAAATGAATTAATAGGAAAGAAACAAATGAGAATATTACTTTTTTAATCAATCAATAATATCCATGCATAAATATCACTGCATCTTAAATCACATATATTTTAGAGAAGATTTCATGGGCAGGAACTGTTCTAACAGTTAGGACACCACTTGGGATGCCCATATCCCATACTAGAGTGCCTGGGCTCACGTCCCAGCTTTTCTCCCTATTCTAGCTTCCTGCTAATGTGAACTCTGGGAGGCAGACGTTATGACTCAATTGCATGAGTCCCTGCCACCCACTTGGGAGAACAGCATTGAGATCCTAGCTCCTGGCTGCAGCCTGGCCAAGCCAAGACAGTCATTGTGGGCATTTGAGGAGTGAAGCAGAAACTGGCAGTCTCTCTCTCTCTCACTCTCTCTCTCATAAAAGAGAAGTCAAAGAAAGGACTTCTTTAAGTAAATTATGAAATATCAAATCACAGGCTGGCACTGTGGCGTAGTGGCTAAACCGCAGTCTGCTGTGCCGGCATCCCATATGGGCGCCGGTTCAAGACCCAGCTGCTCCACTTCCGATCCAGCTCTCTGCTCTGGTCTGGGAAAGTAGCAGAAGATGGCCCAAATCCTTGGGCCCCTGCACCCATGTGGGAGACCCGGAAGCAGCTCCTGGCTCTTGGCTTCGGATTGGCACAGTTCCAGCTGTTGCGGCCAACTGGGGAGTGAACCAGAGGATGAAAGACTTCTCTTTCTTTCTCTCTGTCTCTCCTTTTCTCTCTGTGTAACTCTGACTTTCAAATAAATAAACAAATCTTTTAAAAAAAAGAAATATCAAGTCAGGATATATCTGTCTCACACATGTGTGTTTCTATTACAAATGAACAAAATAGCATTGATTAATGTGCTTTCTTGTAAAGCAGTTGTTGACAACATAATTCTTGTCCATGTCTCTGAAGAAGAAAGAAGACCTAAACTGAATATTTGGGGCAAGCACTGTGACTCAGTGGGTTAAGTCACTGCTGATTCAAGTCCCAGCTGCTCTACTTCCAATCCAGCTCCCTGCCAATGCTCCTGGGAAAAGCAGCTAAAGATGGCCCAATTACTTGCAATAACACCCACACAGGAAATCTGGATGGAATGCCCGGTTCCAGGCTTCTGACTGGTCCAGTCTTGGCTATTGCAGCCATTTGGCAGTGAACCAGTGAAGAAAACATCCTCTCTCTCTCTTCTTCTTCTTCTTTTTCTCTATATTTCTGTCTTTCAAATAAATACATCATTTTTAATTAAAATAATAAATATTCAAAAGTCTTGCAATTTGTATTAAAAATTGTGATAGTCAAAAAAATTGTGATAGTCACCAAAAGACAAAATCTTCATTAAGGCAGTTTATACATATCACGAGGAGAAATCTACAAAGACATCTACTAAAGGTTTTAGAAGTCTGTGAATGTCAGACACGACACTAAAAAATAAGATTCAGCTGAATGAACTAAAAGCATTTAAATGCACACGGTATATCATGATATGATTCAAAGCATGTGCATACTACAGAAAAAAGCCTTTCAACCTTTGTCAAATATTCAAATCTAATCAAAGCATGAGCCCGTTATCATTTTAAATTAAAAGTCACAATCATAGAAGCACAATTCTGGCTAGAGAAAATCAACTGCTTCTGCATCCAGAGTTCCTTTAATTTATGTTCTGCATATGCGGATCATCTGTTTTCTAAACAAATATATTCACATTTTTTGATTGTATAGTGAAACATTTCAGTGTTATTCTACCATTCACTGAATTAGATGTAAACTAATTTGAAGGGAACATGATGACAATGGAATGATCCCCTTTTTTGAGGACAAATGCCTCTTCTCTGCTGTGCTGATTATGTTCTCTGAAATCCCTCAGCTGGGCTGCAAATTTACATTTCGGGGGGTCTTTATGCTCTGCAGTGCTACATCATCATCACATCAGACTGATGCTTTAAGAAGAAATCTGAGAAATTGTTAATACGGCCCATTTTGCAAGTGAGCTTTATATTCCATGTTAAGTGTTATTTATTGAGACTTAATTTTCTAACATAAAATGAAATATGCATGCTATACATGAATGATATGGCCAAAAGTCACCTGACAAACCATTTAATAACACATTAGTGTAATTACTGACACTGGGGAATACTCCTCTCTCTCCTCTGTCTCACAGACACACTTGCTCACACACACACACACACACATGCACACACAGGAGCTATGAAAAGATGCTCTGTGTACAGTTCAAATTTAGTGAACATGAAAGAGGGCATATGAATGGCCATATAAACTATTATAGGTTATCATTATGACAACTTCTTTTCTTAAATATATGTTATCCACATCACAACAAAATAGAAAATACATTCAAACAAGAAGTATTAAAGTTTAGGTATTGTGAAGAAGTTACATAATTTCCTATGAATAATTACTTTCCAAATTTTCTTTGGCACTTGAAATTTAGTTGAGTGAAGGTTAAAAAGCATTTCCTTTAACACCAAAAGATATGCTCAAGGCCAGACTGTACCATGTATCACTTACTATTCTGTTGTGCTGGGCAAATTAACTAAAATCTTTGTTCCTAGTGATTCTTATTGAAATAAGGGAAGCAGTGCCTCTTTGTCTACACCAGAGGAATGTTAAGGAAGGCAAAGGAAAGAGTGCAGGCTACCCTCATAATCACTGTGGCCAATCTGAGTTGGATGGTATCTTAATAAAACCTTTAAGATAAAACTATTCAAAAATATTCCAGT